TTTGCGGAAGTGCATGTTGCGAAAGAACGGTCAAAAAATTTGTTATGTACAGAAAGTGTTTATTAGCTGGTGACTTATGCAGGGCGTGCAAGTGTGCAGAAGTCGAGTCGTCATGCATTCGTTTCGGTATGACGAAACGATTACTCTACTTTGATTAGGCGCGTAATGCGCCGAGTGCCTTACATTTTCTAGAAAGAGTTTTGAAAGTTTTGTAACCCTCTCAATTCTAATATAGTAAAGTGCAAGTTTTGAGTGGCGAAAAATTTTTGTTTTAGATTTTTTTTTTTGCCGAAGGTGTTGCGGTTTTCCTTCATATAAAAATAAATTGTCTTTATTCGCTATATGAGCGCAAATGCGACAAAGGAAATTCTAATAAATCAACTATAATTTGCATAATTAGCAGGGTTGCATAATCAGTATTTTAGTTGCCGTTGCATTTCTTATGAAATTTTTTTAACTCAGTATGAAATTAATTAAGCAAAAAATAAAAAAATTAGTTAACACCTGATTCCTAACAAAAAAAAAAAAACCAGGTCATCCCCCTATTCCCCACGCAAACTGAAATTCCCCCGGAAAATCATATTTACAAACTGCAAAGCAAGAGCGAAAGCAGAAGAAAAGCAAACAAGAAACCAGTGACACTCGAATGAAATCGATTGCTATTGCCAGCGAAGTAGAAATGACTGGGACTAGACTAGGAGTAGAGTTCTCGAGCAGTTGGGGAAAAAGGCAGTAAAAAATGCAATGATGAAGCGCTAACAGCAACTGCAACTGCAAAAACAACAACAAACAAAAATAAAAAATGTAGCAAAGCTTCATCGAAAGACGGAAGCAGCAATTTTTCACTTAAACCACATTGATACTCAATAACGTAGGACAGCAGCAATTGTAGCAACAACACAGCTAACTATGTACATACATATGTGCATATGTAAGTGGGTAGCAATGAAAAATTTGTCTAGGCAACAGTCCTTTGCAATTTTAACAAATGTGCTGGTGAAAGCCACATGCATACATACATACACATATCCGTTTGCATATGCGCTCATACAAAAAAAAAGAAAAAAAACTCAACGTAAAGTACGACTGCTGTAGGCCGCTAAGCGTCAGTGCATGCATAAGCGCATAAGAGGGGCGGAAAAGGGGGGTAGAGAGAGAGGCGGGCAAATATTTATGTTACAGTATACCTACACTGGGGAAGGCTTTAAAGCACGCAAACAAATGGGTGGTCAAATGGGCGGCGCAACGGACGGATGTGGCGGAAATACTCTGCCAGGGAAATGAAACATCAATTAAAGTCAAAGCAACTGTGACCTGGTGGCAAACGAGCAGCAGTAATAGAAGTACAAAGTCGCAAATGAATTGTAAAAGAGGGAAATAAAAATAGAGCTTGATCTTAACTCAGAAGGGTTGGCTTCAGTAAATGATGCATTAGGTATGTACATATCAAAGGTCGTGCAGTGCTTGTGTCACATCGGTGTGTGTGAAGAGTCAAATTGAAAATGCTGATGGCAAATTTAACTTTCATTGACTGTAGAAAAAGCGACAAATTGAGTCAAAGAAATATGTTGCAAGGCTTTGAAATTCTTAGATGATTTAGGTACACAAGCATAAACAAAAAAAAAAAAACGAAAAAAGCCTACGTGGGAGAAACGGAAAATAAAAGAGAAACATGATTCTCTTGAATTGTTAATAAGTACAGCCGCTGGGCAGATGTATTAGGGAAAATGCATAAAACAAGATGAAAGTTGCTTGTAATGCATTAAGACATACTAAATTAGTTTTCGTTTTGTTTTTTTTTTTTTTTTTTTTTTTGTAAGTTGAAAGCAAACCAAATGTCGTATATACAAACTCATTTACTTTACAATTTACATTTTTACTACATGCCGACAAAACGTGACCTAGAGCAGGTTACCTTTTTATTCAAAATAAGTAGCTGCCGATAATTCTGTTGGTAATTTCACCCTTTTGATTCTCATTGTGGTCATAAATATATGCAGAGCGAAACGCAGTGTTTTTGAATTGTGTATTTCTTGAAGCCCTTATAGGATAGGATCATATCTGAGAATACTCGAACTTGGTGACTAAATAGCCTGGCAGTCAATCCGAGTAAGGTGGAACTTATCACTTGGAGCAATAAAACCCTTAAAACGTATTGAACAACACAGTGCACTGTAGTGGGAGGGCGTACCAGGCTGAATGAATCTATTCAATTAAAAATGGTTGAGTTGGCGCAGTGGCTGATGGTAACCATGCTGTGAAAGTCATACTGAGCTCCGAAGGCTTATAGCGCTAGGCCATTTGCCTTTTGCAAAACTTGGGAACAATTTATGGAATGATGCGTCAAACTAGACTGAGCATGATTTCAGACGCCTTTACCTTATTATTTTAATAAGTTTGTGACACTTGAGCAATGCATATGCAGAAATTTTCTAGAAATATGAATTTGCCCATTGAGATTGAGATTGAGATTGTAATATGCATTTAGGCACTAGGTGTTTGAAGTCGCCGCCGTAGCCAAGCGATTCGAAGTATGGGTTCTCTCTCCAGCCAAATCTCCTCAACTGGTGACTGGGTAGGAGAGAGCGGCTGGAACAAAGGGCATGTGAGCTCTTTCACGGACGAGTCGGAATTTGACTGAAGAGTTGGTGAATGTGTGTTTTGGCATGAACTCTAACAGGCCAATCCTGGCTAAGATAGTACAAAGTAAGACAAATGAAAGACAGATGGCAAAATAGTTCGAAAGACTTTTGTTATTCTATGCACAAAGGTCAAAGAAAAAAAGCTCTGACACCCACCACTCGTGGTGAAAAGCTATTTTGATAGGAAGCACTTGTACAGTGGATTTTTTTCCTTTTTCAAATTTATATTTTTTCTTTTTGGACTAAATTTGCTTTTAATTTTTGAATTTTATTGTTTTAAAAAGAAAACATACCTTCACCTGAGGGCGAAAAGATGCCAAGTCCATTTTTTTTTTTTTTTGAAATTGTTCAGGAGAGACAAAAAATCTACGTAATTTCGTATCACCTGCCATTCTGCATCAAAAACTACATTTTGAAAAAAAGGACTTGGCATCTTTTCCCCTTTAGGTATTAATTTTTAGAAACTTATATTATGTATTTTTTGTTAATTTAATTTTGTTTTAATTTTTAGATGTTCTTTTTTCTAAAGAAAAATATTCGTTTTGGATTTCATTTAAGTTTTATGATTTTTTATCTATTTTTTTGTTATTTATAAGTTTTTTTTTCTTTTTTTAATTAAATTTTCCTTTAATATTTAGATTTTATTAATTAAATAAGAAAATATTTTTTTTTGCATTCGATTTTTAGATGCTTATTTCATTTATTTCTTCCTTTTTAATTTAATTAGTTTTTCTTTTGTTAAATCAAATTTTTTCTAATTCTTATATTTCATTGTTTTTAAATATTTGTTTTATTTAAATTTTTTTTAGGACCTTATTTCGTTGCCTTTTTTCCATTAAATATTCTTTTAATTTTTAGATTTTGTTTTAAAATTAAAAATATTTTTTTCCACTTAATTTCGTTTTTAAGTAATATTTTCTTTTTTGATTTCCTTTTGTTTCTTTTTTTAATTTAATTTTTAGATTTAATTTTTTTTTAACAAAAAAAAAAATATTTTTTTTTAATTCAATTTAATTTTCTTTAATTATATTCGCTTTACTATGATTTTATGGTATTTTCTTTTTTTAATTTAATTTTCATTATTTATATTTATAATATTTTTAGAGCAAGCTTTCTACTAAATATATCGACTCGTGCGCCACCTATCGGCAAAATTTTTAGTGAAGTTATTCCCTTTCATGTGGTTAATATACTTTCTGAATATGAGCAAAATCGGTTTATAAATAAGGGGTTTTCAAATATCCCGATTCCTGCCCCACCTATCGGATTAACTCATCTTTCGTATTGCACTATCATCGGGTTATGAACCAACTGCGAAGTTTCAAGTCTCTAGGTCATCGGGAAGTTGAATAAAAGCTTGTAAAAAGAAAAAGGTACCTATATATTCTTTAATTTAATTTAATTTAAAAAAAATCCCAAAAAGCGAATAGCATAACGCATTACATAACGCATAACATCTTTCAATTAGTCTTTCGATAGACAGCAAAGCGCTTTTGCCAGAATTGAAAATTGTCTTCTGAAAGACTTTTGTCGTTCTACAGACTGTAATGAGTTGAAAGACAGTTAGCAGAGTTGCCCTGTAAATCAACATCGGAGCTAGAATGGGTGCCCATGAGGCTGTCTTCGTAAAGAGGGAAGTACCTTTGACTACTTGTAGACTATTTTTGAAAAGATGCGAGGCGCGAAAGATACCTCAGAAAGTGCTTTGTGAGAACTGGGAGATGTGAAACTGCAATGTTTTTGTTACCCATAGTATAATGGAGGCGAGCGATGTGAACTCTTTGTCCCACATATAAGAGTTATTAGCGATCACTGTCCGATTAGAATAGACGTTGTCAGACTGAATATCACAACTGATGATCATGTCAACACTTTCTACTGAGCCTTCCAGCCTCTTCGTTGCTAACTGTACATCTATTCTTACGTTTTCTAACTATTCCTGAGGAGCCATCAGAGAATTAAATTATCCGCGCGCTAAACTTGACCCTGGGAATGTAATGATTTCATCCTTAGATTATCAGTTAGCCTTCATAGCATAATAATTTCGCAAAGAAAACATTTTTAGTGGCGGTCTTAACTCAGCTTGAACCAAAAGTGTTTTTTTAACTCAAATTAATAGTTTTGACAGGCTAACATATCAAAGTTCAAGGGCGTCTTAGTTCTTCAAATTACAAATAAAATATTGACTTCTAGATTTCAAATATAGACGGGCCTATCCGCTTCCTCACCAGCTAACCCACACTTATTTGCATTATCCTTAAACAAAAAGTCAGTTATTGAAAATTCCATCAAAATCAAAATAAAACTAATCAACTTGCATCAGTTAGCTAAAAAATTTCTCCCCTCTTCTACTTTCAGCTACCGCAACGCTTGGCCCGCATGGCTGGGCTCAATCTACGCGAACCATCAACCGATGGCATCAGCAATAACTCACCGTTCGGCAGTAACAGCAGTCGCACTGGCAGCCGTATGAACTCAATGCGCCACTCAAAAATGCAAGTCGACCTGAAGGCACTCGATAAGCTTGTATCTAATCTGTTGGAACAGCACACGGCAGCTATCAAAAGTGGTACGGTAAACAGCAAGACCGCAACGCTGCCAGTAACGGCAACCGCAAGGGGCACTTTGCCACATCAGCGTAAAACCTCAGTGAAATTAAATCGTTGGCGTCCCACGTCACGTTCGGCGCATTCCTTCAAACTAGCCGAAACTGGTGGCGGCAGCGGCAGCGGCAGCGGCAGCGGCAATGATGGCACTGAACTCAGCAGCGCAATGGGCATTCCCGGTAGTGGTGGCGTTGCAAGCATGCCAACAATTATGGAATCGGGTATTGGTGGGGTGTCGTCAAGTAATGATCCCAATAGCAGCGCCACTCGCGTTAGTAATGGCTGGTCGTCATCACTGGAACGGAATACACGTGCTGCACGAAATGTACTCAATACCATAGCCAATGCGCCGCAACGGCTCAGTCAGTCGACAAATAATGAAGAAACATTAAATCTGACGAAGAACTATGAGCCATAGTGGAAGAAGAGGAAGATGATGCTGATGAGTTTCAAATTCAAATGGTGGCACGTGTAGATTGTAGTGGCTACATAGTAGATTTGGAAATTACTTTTCCTCGTTGTTGTAACATAAATTGTTGATAGTTTGATTAAATTGATTAAATTTTAGAGAAAACACAGCGATGACTTGCAATGTGAATGGAATTGTATTATCTTATTTAGCAAAAATGGCTCACAAGCTGTCCTGTTTGGAACTTTACAATCAATATACGTATAAATAGGAAATAGAATTGAAAAATTGGAAAAGTTTTACGCTTATGTAAAATATTGATTAACTTTTTAAAATTAGAACTGTTCTCAATAGCTTTTAAGTAGTTCTTGAAAATGAAAAAAAGCTCTGAAAAATTACGCAAAAACAAATGTTTTTCAAACAAGTCGAAAAGTTAAATTTTTGAAAAAAAAAAATTTTAATAAAACTGTTACGAGTAGCCTTTAAAGGTTTTAAAATTAATTTGCAATTTAAAAAGAAATTTTGTTTTGTTGTTTCACGGCCAGATAAATTTTATAATCTACTTGAGAAAACGGCACTTAAAAGTTTAGTTTTCAATAATAATTGTCATGAAAAAGCCTTCAAAACGGATGTCCTCTGAATCATGGAATCTGAATCGGCATCTCATCAGACTACATTCGTGTCATTTTGTACCAAAACTTTTAAAATCTTTCTAATCTACAGCAAAAACTTTACCCCAAATTTAAACTAAAGTTACAATTAATATGGAAAAAATACATGGGTCCCAAATCATGGATTGACCATCATAGCGCCAGAATCGAATAGAGAATTTGTGGGTGTTAAGGGAACTGAAACTAACTTATTTAATATCAACCAGATCCGCTTAGACAGCTTCAGCGTCAATCAAGAAGAATAAGAAGAGAATCTAAGCTAAAATAAAAATAATGAACACTCGGCAACTCATTCTACATTTGAAACGGATTCTTCTGCTGCTCTTTAATCTTCTCTTGAATAGAATACCTTTCTTACTGATGCAGGCGTATCAACCATTTTGCACACAAATTTATGCACAGAGTAAAGTACTCGCTTAAATTATTATTTTTTCTTTTGTTTTATAAGAGACAAAGTTTTTTGTTTTGTTTGTGGAAAGCAAAAAATTTACGCTCATTTGTAAACGCAAAACAAACTACAACACGATTTTTCGTAGTTATATTTCTTAAAAGTAAAAATGGTAAAAATTTAAATGCAGAGTCTAGAGCAAGTATTTTCGTAACAAAATACAAGAAAAGATCAATGTAATTCCACTTACATTGCAGTTCGCGGCTTTTAGCAAATCATTGAAAAATAATTTCTGCAGCTTACGCATAATAATACATATTTAAATATTTTCTTTTAGCATTGGAAAATTTAGTATAAATTTCATTGATGACATTTTAATTTTACTTGTTAATTTACAGCGTTTTTTCAGTTTCACATTTTTTTCTCACTAATTTCTTCAGATGCGCCGAAAAAGCAAAATTCTTTAAGCTTTAAATGACATGTAGTGATGAATGGCCAATAAGAGGAAGTAAAAAAACCAGTAAAGCTTTTTATTTCATGATAAATTGACAAATGAGCTACAAAAGTAAAAAAATAAATAAATTTTGCGCAAAAGTCAACAAAACTTGGACACAGCGGCCATTAGCGAAAGCCAAATTGATCCAGCGAGCTTTGCTTTTTCTTCTAATTTTCTGGCTAAAGAATCTTTAAAAATCATGAGTATATTAAGTGTAACTATAGGGTATGGCAATTTAAGTGTTACTAGATAAAAATTTCTTAGAACAAAAAATCGTTTCAAAATGAGTTATCTTAAAAACGGTATCAGACTATGGCCTTCAAACGGCCAAACTAAAAGGTGTATATGCGCAATGAAGTAGGTTGTTTTTTTTTCGCTTAAAAAATACTTGCCACTCGAATGACCACCAGAAGGCAGACACCACCGATGGTCCAAAACCACTTGACTTTTGCGTCTAGGGTAGGCAAAAAAATTTGAGTATAAAATATATCAGAGCAGCATCTCAAACAAGCGCTTCTTCAGGAAAGGGAAAATACGTATACCTCAGAGTTACTTGCGGGCAGCGAGCGTTGCCTTCATTGCCCGTTTGAAGACCAAAGTTCAGGCCAAAGTCAAACAAACTGACAGCCGCTGATACAGTTTTTAAGAAAACTGATTTGTCAACCTTTTTGGTTAATTGAACAAAATTTATTCATAAATGAAGAAAATATGGAATTTTTGTCTGGTAACACTTAAATTCCCTTACTTTGCACTATTTCCTAATTTGAAGGTAACTTTTATGGCCGTGAAAATTTGTTAATTGAACAAATAAGCCTTCAAAAAATAGACCCTTGCTACCATCGTTCATCAATTTTTTTATGGCGCTTGAGTAAACTGTTGAAAGGGTCGTAAAACTGGTTAATACACTCTCGGCTAATTCGAATTAATTTGGGTCGTTAAATGGGTTAAATTTAAATGCTTATGATCGCGTGCACGTACGCATATAATTACAAGGTATTGCAGTAAAAATATCTAACCTGGCTTAAAATCTATATGTATGTACTTGTGGTGTCAGGTATATAAGTGCAAACTCCATTTAACTTTTTAGAAAAACGCACTTACAATTTCAATGAATATTTAGAGCTTCGGGGAATCTATTGTTGGCACTTAACAGACAGTATCAAGTATAATTTTTACAAATTGGCATTGTTATTTAATATAAATAAAAATATTTTTCACTTACATGTCGCTCCAGTAAACTAGGTAAATGATCGCTTGGGCGCCTTTCTGGATCCATGTTGCGATAAAAGGCAGTTAAGTTGGCACCCAAGCGTATTGTCACTTCATATCGCGTTTTTCCATTACGTGCTACAAGAAAAAAAAAGAGAAGAATTGCAGATTTTTAAAAATTAAAATTTCCAATATAATTATTCGAATTAAGTTTACAAGAGAAGGTGACAGAAATTTGAGATTCAGATACCCCAAAACTTGAAAAGACTAAGCTTCCAATTGAACGAAGCTATTTTCTGCCACAGTTGCATGAGTTTGCTGACTAAATTCTTCACCACACTTTTCAATAAATGACCTCGGTAGTAGGGCTGTAAAACTATCAATAGTCAGACCATTGCTAGTACTCGATATCATTTTTAGGACTATCGATATATCGTCGATAGTATCGTGTAAAGATTTCGCGCAATTTTGTTATGAAGATTTATTTAAAAAAAAATACATTCTAAAATGACGGTTGAATGCCCTTGTAACCTACTAGACACGTTTTTTTGATTGTTTAACAATTAAGTTAAAAGAATTTTTTTAAAGAATTTTGAATGAATTGAAATTCAAAAGAATTGCATTTGCTGGAATTTAATATTTTGTGGTGATGAAATTAAAATAAGAGACAGAACTTGAATACATACATGAATCACATGTCTGTCGGACTATCGATAGTGCCAAAATGTAATCGAAAGCAGCGAAATATTAGAAGAATATGGATAGTTTTGACACTCTACTCGGAAGGTCAAAATAAATTTCAACTTAATAGTTGGCGGTATCCCTAAATTCTAACAGTACTTTTTCGCACACAGAAATAAAGTTGACAGATCACTAAACGAAAGCTACTTGGGTGCGCACAAAAACTCCTACAACGACATCTAGTAGAAAAATCCTCGAACACCCTGAATGCATGTCATAAAAAAATCATCCGCAAGACTGAGTAAATACGTTGTCATCAAAGCAGTTCCTCTTGACACGGTCCATGGTAATCGTCTCATTGCAAACGAAGAGCTTCAGCCGACCCGAAAGACCGGAGCACCGGTCTTATTTATCCCAAATCGACCCCATAATACCCGAAAACCATATCTTCACTAACCGTTCCGTTTGGTCCAACCCAGTCGAAACAATACCTTTTATAGGCCTAGAATTAATTGAGCCTGATGATATCAATCGATGTATCGAATATACTTTCAAATTATAAAAGGGCTGAAAAAGTACAATTGTAGTTACTTTTCCATCAGTGGTAAGGACCATCCCAAGCACAAAATGCGGCTAATATTTCTTGACGTCCGGGAACCGCCTGCTAGTATCCGTGAAATGAAGTTACCTCACGATACAAGGAATCCTCAGACCCGGCTGGTGCCAAACCGACCCAAAAATAATTTAACCAACCCTTTTTTGTATGCTTCTCTAATTCGACGGCCGTAACACCGAAAGCCTTACAGTCAGCCTAGAAGTCTAAGAGAGGCAGTTGGATGCCTTAGAATTGGACCCACCGAGTCGGGATATGACCATGGCACTTCTCAAACGCGACAAACGCTCGTATCATGCTTATGAAATTGAGCATACGATCTTGCTGATCGCCATGGATAAACTTCCATCTCTAAGTCTAATCGTATAATTAAGTATGTTCTAAAAATTTCTTATATAAATATCTGCTGTTAAGTGACAATAATAAACAACAAAATCTTAAATATGTTTACACTTACCAGTCATTTTGCTAGCCTTTCGCAGCGTGATGCCTTCGCTAACACGATCGAAATCACATTCTTTATGACAATCACTCGTGGTGGAGTTGGAAGTGCAACCTGAAAGAAAAATATTAATTTTTATTACAACTATTAAAAAATGTTAATAAAGAAAGCTTTTCCAACTATTTCGTTAGCTAAGTAAATGAGAATTTTTAATGCTACATATAGTCATGTGAAAAATAAAAGCGACACGGCATTTTGACCAATTTAGGAAATTCTTCTTTGTTTGCCCAATGTTTATTATTTTTTATAAAAACACAGCTTATTATCGAACACAACAACAAACTTTTTATCATTTTATGATACTCAGATTTCCGAAATTGCAAAATTCTATTTAGATTTAGCTACAAATTCTAGCCTTACAAACTTTCTTTAAAAGTAGCTTTAAAGTCCCTAACTACGAGTACTAGTAAATTCTGCTTGAGGACATGAGGTGGAACGCTTGCAAGTTTTCTCATGCCTCTCATTCGTGCTCACGAGTAGTTGAAGTCGTACAAAATATGTCTCAAAATTCAATTTGATGTGAAAACCTGTGAAAATTCTTCAGTGCTTTCTACCAACTTTTCATTCAACCAACGGTGACTCTTGGTTACGTATGTAACCAAGATATGTATGTATTTGCGCTCACGTGCCACGCTGTATGTACAAATGTATGTGCATTAGGGTGGTCCATAACTCCATGTAACAAAAAAAAAAGTAAAGTTGGAATTTGTATGCTCTCAACCCCTAGGATTGCTCTATACCGAAAAAAATGTACCCCTATTTTTTATTTTGAAATTAAAAAATATTTAGAGGTCGCTCAAAGCGCTCAAAGTTTTCCATGTGTTTCATATGGGGGAAAAATAACTTTTCGTAGAAATGGTATAGAATTCTTGAAAACCAATATTTTCGACCGGAATACCCTGTTTCTCAGGGGGTGAGTGCATGAAAATTCCGACTTTACTTATTTTGGGCCACCCTAATGTACATATGAACTCTTATGTTGTTTCAGCAACGCAAGCGACCAATCCAGAAAACCCGCTGTTGATAGTCAGTGGCGACGGAGACATGTGTTTGGCAAGTAAGCAGCATTGAACGTTGTTGCATCAACTGTTTTGGATTCTGTTTTGTTATTTCAATTTTCTTACAAACTTCTATAGTATACACACTGCATACATATGTACCTATGTAGGTATGTATGTATGTAACTTAAGACTGAATGTGTATGTTCACGCAAGCCACACAACCGACTACAAGTTATTATTACAGAAAATCTCCGTCGTAGTACACTTGTGTGCTACTTCTAGAAAATCCTTACAGCAGTTGCCAAGTAACAGTGCTTTTCCACTACGATGACAAGTACCCTTTCGGCGCTTGCTTTACACTCTCTTTTGGGTAGTTTATACACGTTCCTTTACAATTTTTTGCCACTTCATGTGCACATTTTTCCTGTGATTCGATATGTTTCCCACCTGTCATCGCATAGTCATACCTGACATATGACGCTGCACTACTGCTGCCGGTGGCTTGTCTTACAGCAGAATAAGCGCTTTCATCGCTGGCAAACGTTTTTTTTTTTTCGCTTTTCTTCTAACTTAAAATTGTGTGAAGCTATAAATTGTCGTTTAGTGCAACATTTCATATTCAATCGCTTTTTGTCAGTTGCACTCATTGCTTAACGTGACACTCAACTGTACTTAAGAGCTTTTATTTAAGCGAACTCTTGTTGTGGCTCTACAGGTAAACGTTGCAAAAGTCCATTTTTATGCATTTGAGTATTGAGATCTCCTAGCGAGAATATTCTTTTCCTCCGTTAAATAGGTGAACATGCATCAGCGTAAGTGGTAATTTTTCGTGGTATTTACAAATCTGATTTACTGATTTTCCATCACATATTTATCACATTATTATAAACATACATAGTATTAAAATTATGAAAATATTTTTATTGAAAACATAATTCATATTCGCACACTTCATCGCCTTTTCGACTTTACTCGTTACTTTAGTGCTTTATTGCTTTACGACACGCTCTCGCCCAAACACAGACATGGTATTGCATAAATCAACGCATACGTTGGGTAAGTTGAATGTACGGCGTATGTTTTTTATTCCTGCAATAAATCTTCTTATGCGCTTCAACGAAAATAAACAAACAAACAGGGAAATAAAATTAAAGAAATGAGCGTTCGCTGGCGTAAAATTTTCTTTAATGTTAATGTTGTGACTTTATTTCACGAGCAAGTCGAATATATATAAGTATATTTTGAGCGAAGTCAAGCGAATGAGAATGTGCGTAATGCATGTAAATGCATACGCAAACACAGAAGTGCACAAGCATACATACAAATTTGCATAACAATCAGGCTTATACACGGCGTATACGCAATGAATACTTTTGTCCCAAGCGTGTGCGTGCATCAACCATGCAACTGACCTGAATGAGTCGACTGTGCGTACATATGTACATGCGCGTGCATATTTATACATGTACATTCATATATTTGAATGCTCTTAATTATTTCCTTAATTAAATAATAAACAAACAAAAAAAAAACTCCACTGCGTATACGTAACTTCGCCTTAATGTCTCGGTAGACGCCGCTGGTCAACCATGGCCGCTATGGAATTCTCACAGCACAGCAGCGACAGTGGCATGATACTCGCAATGCTCTGACAACTGAATACAAGTCACAATGCTGTGCTGACAGCAGCTAACAAACAGCTTGCGCCATTTTACCGCTTCTGGCGTCAAGCGTCTGGCTTTGACTGCCGACGACAGTGAGAACATTATCTGGTCGAAATTTTAAAGTCAATCAATTTTAACACCAGCAGCAACACGTGCCTTACCGCAGGTTGCAATTAAAAGGATAACAACAAAAACAACAACAACAACAACAAATGTAAGCAAAGTAGTCAAACCCTGCAGGGAAAGCTACTAGTTGTGAACTAGAATTCTACCAGTTTGCGTTTCAGCCCAACTAGTTTCGCGTTCTATCCTTTTTCAATGTTAGCGACTGGTATTTTTAACATTGCGATGTCCTAAGAGATGTCAATTGTCAGGCTAGGCATCAGCATCTACTAGTATAAATACTAGTAGCATCATACCAGTTGATGAGATAGCCAATTCATGCCCCGTGAAAAGTATAAGTGTGCCTTTTTGCTTGCGACGCTCCAGCAGTCACAATGGCCGACAGAGCAAAGCACTCGCGTAGTAAGCCTGAGGTCCCAGGTTCAAATCCCGGACCAGGGAAAATTTTTTTATTTTCTTTTTTTTATTTTATTTTTATTTTTTATAAATTTATTTTTTTGTTTAGGCTGTTTATTGCAATTCCTAAATTTAATAAAAAAAAATATTTTTGTTCAATTTCTTTGTTTTTATAGCACAAGCATTTCTTCCTAAAGTTTTTTTTTGCAATGCAATTAGATTTTCAAATTTGCTATTTATTTATAAATTGAATAAATTATTTTTATTTACATTTATTTAACTTTAAAAATCTTAACCACCTCCAAGCGGCTACGAACCTGAGATTTCAGAACCAGAACCAGTAGTCTTCACGTGACGCCACAGCCGACATTTGTAAGAAAAGCAATTAATTGCGTTTTATTTTTGGCTATGGCAATTCAAAGGCAGATGTAGCTAATCGCCTAAGTTCTCCGAAATTGTCGAACTGGTAGGCACATACTAGTTAATGAACTAGTATTTTTTCTAACTGGTTTGGCGTTTCACTGCAGGGAACAGATACACGCACTCACAAAAGTTGCTCAACCGAGAGCATTAATGTAGCGTGGCATAAATATTTACTTACAACAAGGACATGCAGGCATACGCACACCATTCAACGCACAAACACTCACAGACTCGTACTTAAACGCACTTACCCATTGTTATTTCATTTATTTCCGGAATTTCACATTTGGTGCCTTTAAAGCCGCTCGGACAGTGGCATGTGATGGCTGCATCGCCGATATGTCTGAAAAGTACAAGAAGAAGCAGAGGAAGAAAAGGGGAGTAAAATTTAAACGTTTACGCAAAGATGCTTATTATAGAATAATTATGTATGTGGGTGGTTCTTAAAAAACATGACCATTCTGAATTTTGTAATTTTTAAAAATTAAGTTGGCCAAATATGTTTATAATTGGCCTCATGTGGTTACGGATGGTATCAACAATAGGAATCCATAACCAGCAGTATTTTTTTTAATTTTTGGAGTTTTTGGAGTTAATAAGTCACAGAGTGGACCGGTAACAGAGGGGACAAATTAACTCAAAAATACCATATTTTAGCTTTTTATTCGAATTTTGGAGAATTTATTTGTCCACTTAATTAGTGTACATAAAATATTTATAAAAAAATTATAAAATAAATAAAAAATCACTTTACTCACCGTTTTTCAACAGTAACAGAGTTGACACTGAATAAGGGTACGTACCCGGCATACAATTGGGTTCCTTACTCAACAACGCACTAAACAAGACTGAACAGTTCAAAACACATTTTGTTGATTTTAGCTAAGTTATGATGGAGAAGCATAAGAGAAATATACGCGTCATAACGTTTAACAAACATTTTTCAATAAAATGAGTGGACGTAACAGAGGGGACCAAAACCTGGGGACACAAATTTTCTTCATAAAAATTATACAAAAAAATTATTTTTCATCATTCTTTTCTATATATGGTATTAATATACACAAACTGAATAACAAAAATTGTAAATATTATTTTTTTTCAATTTTATTTCAACTGAAAATAACTATTAAATTTTTATAAATTGGCTCGGGACACAGGTTTTTGCTAAACCTTTGACATTGAAAATATTTTTTTAAGTTATTTTCAGATAATTAATTATTTTTTTTTTTATAATATAGTTACGTAGAATCGATAATAATTTATAAAAATGCAGATATTTTTCTATTTTCTTATTGAAGAAACAAAATATAAAATAGTAAAGTCTGGGGACACCAATTGGTCATGTTTTTTAAGAACGACCCATGTATGTTTGTGAATTCATATTGGTATATATAAATATGTACATATATGAATGTAAATGTGCTCGCAACATGCCAGCTTACATATCTTATTTGACTGTGAAATATACTTTTCCGTGGTTATTGCTTTATATAAACCAATCTTCGCCGCCCTTGTGCCAATGAGATTACACAGTTGAAGTTCGCTTGCTGGTAAATACAGTCTTTTTATATATATATTTTTTTTTACTTAAATTTATATTTTATTTTATGGACTTAAGTGCATTACTTGCGCATGTTAAAATAACGTGGGAAATGTGAACAATTATTTATTTTAAAGCAGTTTTCCTTGCAATTGTCCTAATTGGGTCCTACTAAGGCAACATTCACAATTACTTAATGGTTTCAATTCAACTTTTTTTTTTAGATTTTAAGACCAAGCCATGAGTAAAGACTCTTCATACATATACCTTTTTACCATTCCCATTACAGTCATGAAATTTTTGACTCTACAGGGGTAGTCGCTCAAAGTGTTACCAATCAAAAATGCTATACTTTATCTATTTTTTATTTTTTTATTTTGTTTCCGTTTTATTTACAAATATCAGTGCGTCATAACAAAAAATTTCATATTTCAAGCAGAAAACGAAGAATTCTAGTTACTAACGAAAATCTACCGTTTTCCTAGTTTTTTAAGACCTTTGAGCCGAAGAAAATAAACAAGAAAACATCCATTTTAGCCGCTTAGATAAGTACTAAAACATTGGTAAATATGCAGAACTGCAATTGAAGTTTACGAGTAAAAAAAACAAACGAATCTGTTTTTGTGCCACTATTTTAAAAATTTTTTTAGTTCGACGAATAAAAAACGCCCAAGAATTAGTCAAGAAAAATTTATTGAGCCAAATTTTCTTAAACATTACGAAGTTCTTAGGAAACCGCCATCGCTTCGCCACTTCGCTGCTTGCTATGTTTGAGTTCCGGTCGCTTAACAAAAAATTGTGTATGTGAAAGCACCAACAAATTTAGATAGCAAGGTTGGGCGATAGCGAGTTTGGGTGTACCTCATTTAGTTCGTTCGTTTCGCCACTCGCTAACTGTTGGCGAATTGATGACGGCTATTTATAACCTTGAAATTTTGATAACTCGATATGTTTTGAAAATTCCGAGAACCTCAATTCGGTAAACCATAAAATTTCAGTAAATCAATAAATATCGATAACTCGATGCATTACGATAACCCCATAAATTTCCATAGCTCGATAACTCTCCATAAATTTCGACAACTAATTTTCTGTGCCTATAAATTTCAATCTTGCCAACAAGTCCTTCTTTGGACTGAGTAGGCAATTTAAGAGTTAAGTCATCTCCCGACGTATGAAAACCACACTATATAAGTCACTCATAATGCCCGTGTTGGTATATGGGGCCGATGCATGGACAATGGCAACATCCGATTAGGCGGCTCTTGGAGTGTTCGAGAGATTTTGCGGAAGATTTAGGGCCCTTTCGCGTTGGCGATTGCGAGTATCGCAGACGATAGAACAATGGGCTGTATGAGCTTTTCAACGACATATACATAGTGCAGCGACACGGCTTGGCCATGTCGTTCAAATGGACTCCGACGCTCCAGCTCGGAAAGTATTCAAATCGGAACCCGCTGGTGGTGGCAGAGGAAGAGGGAGGCCCCCACTGCATTGGAAAGACCAAGTGGAGAAGGACTTGACTTCACTTGGTATTTTCAATTGGCGTCAGTTGGCCCAGAAGAGAAGCGACTGGCGGGCTTTGTTGAACTCGCATTTCAAATACGAAGTAAAAAAAAAACACGAAAGCAACTCAAATTGAACAGGTTGCAACAATAACTACATATACACAAAGATGAATTTTTTTAAACGACGATTTTGACCGAAATTTTTTACCATAAAAACTCTGCTCATTTACAGAAGAAGTACCTTTCCTTTCATTGAAATCGGTTCGGTATAATCGCCAAATATATGGAAAAAGTCCGGTTTATTGCCGATGAATATGGTTGCCATTGTGTCGAAGAAATGATGATGAGAAATTTTTTTTCTAAAAACGTTGGCTTTTGCGAACTTTATGCGATGGTGACAAGTGTTCTTAAAACGTCTAATGATTTCTATCCAAATTTTTTCATATTTTTTGGAGAATTTTCGAGATTTTATCCATAGTTTTGCTACGTTTGCAAAACTTTTTCGGACTTTTTACTTTTACGGTATTCTCTTAACCTTTAAAATTTTTGGTAATTTTGTGTTCGCCCTCAGAATTATTCATTTAAATCTTAATTTATTTTATAAATTCGTTCGAAACAAAAAGGAAACAAATAGTTAATTGTATGCTATTTTATTTCAATAAGGGATGTGCGATTAATCAAATAATCAAATTATCAAATAAGGTAATTAATGGAAAACCGCAAGCGCATAAAAATACAACGACAGTATCTTTGTTCAGTACTGCCTTGATCATCTGTACTCTTTGTTCTTTTGTTCTAGAAAATTTGTTTGCCACTTTTATTCACCTCAGAAGTCAGAGTTGCAAAACATCAAAATATTTTTATTTATATATCTACTACATATTTGTTAGAGATATGCAAACGCTCTTTTATGAAACACGAGAAACCAAATGTGAAATGCTCTGGAAATGCAAACTATTATTAATCTTATAATTTTCCTTATTTACATTTTAAGTAAATATGTTGCGCCAAGAGTGACAATAAGAAATTATGTATGTGTGCGAGATTTTATAAGAAACAGAACAAACAGGGAATGTAAATTTTCAATTGCCAACAAAACCATATGCTAACCCAAAAAATAGCCCAAAGATTGCCGTTATAAATCTGAAAAAATACACTAAGAATCCATGCAAATAGAATAAAATGCCATAAAACGCAGCTCAACATATCATCAGCCTGTCTGTCAGCGAGTAGACGGACTGAGTGGCACTCCGAAAGTCAGCCAGTCAATCAGTTGGCAAAAAGCACCCCACACACCAGCCAACCAGCGAGCACAAGTGATTGTCGTCAGTAGGGCAACGGGCCGACAAGCTGTCAGCACAATTGACTTTTGCCATATATCACACGAAGAGCGATGCTGCGCTGCGGTACTTTGTTGGGCCACCACACACCACAAACACACGCACATTCAGTAATGCATAAATACAATTTTATATATTTTTTATTTACAGCTTCACATTTGCCCTTAGTGAGGAGGGAAATAAAAATTTTATTACAATTTAATTTAACCCACACGGAATGGAATATGACAAAAGAGCAGCTTGCTGGATTTGTAGTAGTTGAATGGTGGGAGTTTTATTTAGTGCAACGCGCCGTATAAGCAATGTCAAAGGGAGGCAATACAATTTTCGAAAGGCGGCGAAAGTTGGAAAGACGATGAAATAAAGTGCAAAAAATACAAAAAAAAAAAACAATTGAAAATTTTTGAGCAGGCGGTGCGCATAAAAATATAAAATGGTTAGTGTCATCGAATTTTTTTCTCGTCGTGTTTCTGCCAAGCGCACAGTTGAGGTGAGTGTTTGTTCGACCTTTGGCGGCACAAAGAAAGTCAATTCAGATTTAATTTATGTAAGTAAATATGTGTGAACTTGAAATTAAATATTTACGAGTGCGAATTTTAACTTTTTTAAATAAATAGAAAGCCGCGCCACAAGTGTAAATATCTGAGAATGTTGGTGTGTGAAAAGTGGCCAAAAAGTAGAAGAAAAAAAAACGAAAACAAATACGAAATAAAATGGAGAGAATAAACCAAAGTAGAGGAAGTAATAAGCCGACGTGTAAGATTGTGGCAAACAGTGAAATTGTTTAAAAGCAGAACCCAATCGAAACCAATAGTAGAGGCAAGGCGTAACATGGCAAGCCCACGCAAACAAGTCAATGTCAACTGCCGCTGTGTGAAGCGGAAGCAGAGGCAACAAAAGAGTATGGAAAACCAAAACTACAAATAAAAAAGGCCGTCGAAAGAGCATGCAGTGCGTAAATTCAAGCCAAAAATGTGCAACTGAGCAATTTTTCAGCGCCATACTTTTTGCACACTTTTCCTTAAAACATAAAACGAAAGCGATTTCGTGGCCTTACTTGCAGCTCCAACTCTTTGTACTCCATATATGCTCTTACTTGAGTGCTCATCATCTGCATATTCACCGTTATTTCAGCCTTTCATCTTACTTCTCTTCACTATTAAGCTTTCTGCAATTTTCTTTCATTTTTTTCCTACCTTTTCTTCCTTTCTTCATTTGATCAGCGCAGTTCTCTTCATCTGCCTGCATCCAAAAATGCTCACTGTTTTTAAATCAACCTCTTATTCAGTTGCTCAACCTCTTTCAACTATAATTTGCTCGACTTTTGCTTGTTAATGAATATTTCATTGCACCAAACTTTTGAAATTGTTTCATGTGCCATTTTGGTTTTCACTTTACCTCCAATTTGCTTTCTCACACTTACTTTGTTTATGCAAATTTACGCGCAATAAATTGTACCAAGTGTTTGAAGTACAAAGGCGAAATAATTTCGCAGCTTTCAAGGCAACTCTGCAGAGCAAAAAGCAAATTTTAGTTGTATTTAGTTGGAAATTTGTATTAAGAATTCGATAAATTTGCATGGAAAATTGTATACACAAAGTGTTCGTTGTAAAAAATTTTATCGTATTTCTCTTTTCAGGAGAGGAAGTTTTTTTTCTACAAAGTCGGCTTTTGAGTTCTATTTAGTAAACCTTTTCACGGTCATAAATATTGCAAAAATAAAATACAAAAGTTTGATTTTTAGAATGAGAGAGAGCTTAAATAAGAATATCAGGTTTGTTCCACGAACTATTCGAAGAATATCTCGAGCTAAGTTCAAACTGTATGTATACCAGAGGAAACTGTCAAATGAGGCTCGTTACAAAAAAAAAAAAAAAATCGTGAAACAGTTTTGATTAAACAGCGAGCAACACATTTGTTTGTTTGGATTTCTATTTTCAGATCATTGAAAAATCGTTTTTTTTTTCTCGCTTAAAAATAATCGTAAGCCATTGTGTAATTTTTACTTTTCGATAAATTTTAATCGTTTGTATATGATTTTTATTTTTTCGATCAAAAATAGTCGTTATACATGAATTTTAATTTTCCGAACATTTTTAATCCTCAAAAAGAAGTTCTGCGCAAAAATACTACGGCACCTCTTCTCCGGCAACACAAATAGCAGAACTCGACTTAGCAACCCCCTGTCTCGACATGCGAACGCCGTTCTCATGCGATTCGACTCATAGGATATATTGGAAATGGAGGCCGCTCATCGCAGATTTCAGATATCAGAGCTCATCGCATGAGAATTGTTGCATGCAATCAGCTGTCAAACAGCGTGTTTGTACGGTTGTTTTTTACGCAAAAATTGCTATGGTTTTTTATATTTTCTATTGCGAAATTTAAAGTAATACGGAAGTTACAGCGCTTAGAAGTGCAGATTGCTGAAAGGCGGTACTTTTTTCTTTTGCTTGATTAATTTGGCTGAAATTCTTTATACTATTGTTTGCAGTGCCCCGTATTTATGACATGAATTTAATTAATTAATTACTTTCCTGAAAATTCATGTCATTTTTTCCGACCACTGCCATTTTTTGCCAGGAATAATAACAAATGTTTTCCCTACCTAACGTCATAGCTACTAGTATTTTCTTAGAGAAGAAACAAATTTGTTTGTAATTTTCAGACGATGTCCGATTGAGAAAGATTTTACGCCATCTAATGTATGGCTCATATCTTAAACCACTTTATAATTTGCACTGCAGAGGTGAATTTGTGTAAAAATATTATTTCAACCAAACCAACCAATTAAGTAAAAAAAAAAACCCCCTGTTCCAAAAACTCATTAACCATCCCTCACATGGGCAATGGAGTAGATCTACATGGCGTATGAGTGACTTTATTAAAAACAAAATTCGTCAATTAATGTCAATTGCAATATTAGTACGCTTCTTTGAACAACAACATATTTATACTTCACTGACAATTTAGTGCGAATATTAAAAATAAAATTGTCTAACCTGCCTATCAATAAACGCCAGTGTCACCGGACAAGGGTCAGTGATAGCGAGATTGGTCACAAATTTCATATACTCTTAGTATGAATACAAAATATTTATTATAGAAATAGTACCCAAATTTTTTGTTTCCTTTTTACACTGTAACCCAAAACTAATCATACTTTCCAGTTCATAAACGTATACTCACTTGCATGTGCCGCCATTTTGACAGATATTCGTATGGGGATCCTCACACAATGGACCACGTCCACAATCGGTGCCACTAAAGCCGGGAAAGCATGAACAGTAGTAGGAGCTGCAAGTTGAAAATAAAGGAAATATAAATACTTATAAAGACTTTGTGAAAATTTTAGCTTGAAAAAGGATATCTTTTATCATAAAGTGATAGCTAATTGTGAGAAAAAAATGCTTGCTATATGCCAGCCCAGTCCGCTTTCAAGGCCTTCCAGCTCAACAAAAAAACGCATGTCCACTTTAAAACTTTACACAGGATGTAAAATAAAATAATGACTAAAACAAATAACACAACAAAAAAAGCTAACGATTCTAAGTCAAAAACATAAATAAAACATAAATAAAAGGCACACAAAACTAAAATTAAAAACAAATAAAAATATTCATAGTAAGTACCAACGACGTAGTATTTGTAGTTTCAATGTCGTTCGCACTAAGCGACCACAACAAAGGCCAATGGCAGCGTTTGAAGTTTTTATATGGTTGCTGCGGCAGCTGCCAATCGAGTCGGCAATTTTTAGAGCAATATTTTTTCACAATAGAAATAAAATGCTAAATAACTACATAGAACTACAAATACGTGCAAATATCTATGTAATAGTTGACATTCACCATATGCGTTGCTGCATATTCAATGCCGCAGCAAATACAAAATTTATATATTTAGTACATATATTTACACACACACACACACATGCATGCATATCAAATACTAAAGAAACCAGTTTAATAGACACCAACTGAAGGGCACACATGGCGTATGAGTGATGCATATGAAAGGTCACTTTAAAAAAAATTTCATGAATTTTATTTCAGCTTTTGAATGAATAAAAGGCGGATTGTTGATCTTTGTTTGTCTTTTTTTCCGCCCCTATTTGACTATTTATTTTCTCCTTTTCTTATAAGGTCATTTCAGTTGAATCGCATATACGCTCATGCATATGTATATGCTACATACATATGTATGTACACATATATGCAAGCATTTACGGTTCACTTGCTCTTTTATCAATGTTTCGTTTGAGCTGACTATTTTTTGATGAAATCGTTTGTTGATGTTCCATTACTTTGTTGATGCGCCATCCTAGTTTACATTTGTTGACAAAAGATGTTCACATGCTTTTGTTTAGTAATATACAGGTATATATGTACACTAGGCTAGTCCAAAAATGCATGTGAAAAGGTAAAGTCCGAATATTCTATACCCAAAAAAAAAATTGTAACCTCTATTTTTTTATTCTGAAATCAAAAATTATTTAGAGGTCGCTCAAAGCTCTGAAAGTTTTCTATATATTTTATATGGGGGAAACAAACTTTTCGTAGAAATAATATAGAATTCTTGATTTTCAATGGTTAAATAAACAATTGGGTATTATTTTAGGGAATCTCCTGAAGAGAACCAGGATTTTCCGATCGAAATATTGATTTTCAAGAATTCTATACCATTTCTACGAAAAAAATTCCGATTTTACTTTTTTTTTACTACCCTTATGTAGACACATAGAGAGGAGAAAAGAAAAACTAGTACAGGGGTTAAGTTTTTTAAAGCCAAAAGAAATTAGTTTTCCAAAAAAAATAGTTCATCTACTCTACTCCTAAAAAATGCTGATACAGGAAGCACCTCTTTCTTGAAACGTTAAAGGCGCAAGAGTTAAAAGGTAAGGTCCATTCTGAGTTTGTCTGAAGACTTCGGTAGAAAAATCTTGAAAGTTTCAACTAAACGTCAAAGATCGGAGTACGAATAACAGATGTGTAGCCTAAAATATTCGGCAAATCTCTCTTTTTTTTTTAAGTTGCGAGGGTCTCGCTCCGCATAGTGAATTAAAAACTAGAAATAATTGGTTGGTAATTTAACATTCGAACATGCTATATCTTTTGTAACATAAAATCAGGCCATCAATTTTGCTAAATTAAAAATTGAATATAAATTTTTGATATTCTAAATTGGACAAAAATTAAAAAAATATTAAAACAAATTTCATAATATTTTGATAATTTAACAGCAAAACAGAAAAATTTGCCCATGTAAAAGCTGAACGCGAATTTTCGGTTATTCAAAAAACTTAAATACCTCGCCAAAATTTTGGCTAAACTCATCAAGCAAACTAACTCGAAGCACTGCTTTGAACTCAAATGTCAGCATAACGTTATCTCGCCATCAAGTAAGTAGCGCGCGCCTAAAGTACAATATGACTGACAATGACTCCGCAACAACAAAAACCGCAGCCATTTAAAAGCTTTTTGACAAAAAGCCAAGTGCATTAAGCGAACAATGCCAATGGATAACATTGTGGAAATAACAGTAATAACTGTTATAAAAACTGTATCTAAATGTATGACAGCAGAAGGGTGAACTCCAAACAGGAGCACCTCACAGCAAATGCCCAAATTACAGAGTAGTCACTGTGCTGCCAATTTGCTTTTTTACAACGGCCATTTTTGCCAGCTTGCTGCTGTTCATAGTCGATCTATGCATTTTTGGCGGCTGCCACAAAATAATGCTCCGCCTCCTCTTGTTTTGTATTTATATGGCTTTTAACATTTCAACATTTTACCACATTTTTATATACGAGCAATCAGTGTCAGAAAATGGTCATCGCCAAAAACTGAGCAGCACAGCAAATTTGTTGCCAGCGACTATCAACGTCACTTGCGCGCATCATACACTTTACACAAATGGCTTTTTTGTTGTTGTTGTTTTCTTTTTTTTGCTCGATACTCATACGCTTTTTTGTGTGTTAGTGTGTGTGCTATTCGATTTTGGGTTGATTGTCTCAGAAAAATGGTCATATTTTTGGCTCTTCACACAAAGTTTATGATTTCGTTAGCCCTTTGTGTCGAGTCAAAAAGTTAAAAATAGCATCGCACAGATAAGAAATAAAAATGCATCAGCAGCAAATGCGGAAATGGCACAGGCACACAAATACGAACAGGAACACATGATCGCACGCACACACGATAAACGCACAGTTGGGCATGCATGTGGTTGCATGTAAATAACCAAAGTCATATGGCAGTTTGGCATCGCCACTTGTGTCATTCAGGATTCTCTTTGAACAAACATATGTATGCATGTATGTATGTACTTCAGTTTAGCAACCAAATTATTACTGAGAAATAAATGTCAGTTGCCGTCACGAGGAAAACTTTTCGCATTGCCAATTTTTCTGGCACACTCGACAATGAGTTCGAGTCGAATTTACGACACGCAATTTAGTTTGGAAACATAAATATTCAAAATTTTGAAATAGTATATAAAGTGGCTGCTTTGCGAAAATTGAAGATGGAGTAAAATACAAGCACAATGGGGTAGACATTGCGTATGAGTTATGCTTCACTGGAATATTTCGAAAGCCCTCATATACCCACTTAGAAGAGGTAGATGAGTGTGAAATACTTAATTTATATTTGAATAATATTACACTGGAGTAGCGATCTACAACTTCTGTGAGCAAAGCACACTTTTGTGAATACTACTGTCAACTAATTAGCAACGAAAATGTTTAATTAGAATATTTAGACAATTTTCGGGCATGCAATTTTTTAGCCCATTCAATTGTGGTATAAGAAAGTGCAAGTTTCAAGTCGTTAAATATTCCCGTTGATTTTTTATTTTTTTATTTTTTTGTGGAGGGTTGCTGTTTTTTTTTTCATATACCCACTGTGAAAATAGGTAAACACACTACGAGGTAAGCCATGTTTTGTTTCAGTTTTTAGTACCAAAATTGTCATCATAGCCAATGTCATGTCATTGCATGGGCTACAAAACTGCATACTAAATATTCTAATTAAAAATTTTGAAATTTTGTTGACAACTTTTTGAAGTTAGATTAATTTTTTTTTTGCTATTTAAGCAAACTTTTAAACTTTTATTACTGTGGTTTCTGTTACAGATTGAATTATATTTCAAATGAAAATTATTAAAAAAAAAAACAAATAAATAAACATAATTCGCAAACAATATCATTTTGACTTTCGTTGCAATTAGTTGGTCGTATCTGAACACTCGTATGTATATGCATACATATATAATTTCTTTCGAAATTTAGTTCTTGCTGCAGAATGACAGTTAATGCAAAACTGCATCGATTTTTCGTCTCTCCTGAACAAGGTCAAAAAATTACATTGACAGCTTTTCACGTTAAGGTAACGATATGTATGTATGTATTTGCGTTCGAGTTTTCGATCATCCCAAACGCAACACATAAGAATGTTTGAAGGAGTTTAAAAATAATCGTTTGTGTTATTTTTAGCTTAATAATTCAATTAAATTTTACATTTTAATAGGTGGCAACCCCATAAAAAATATTTTATAAACAAAGCTTTCTTGAACCTCATTTGATTGAGATCCATATAGTAAAACTTTATTTCACTTATGAATAAATGGGATTTGAATGGGATGGAGTTAATAATGTGGCAACCCTGTTCCCGATATTTTCAAAATAAAGCCCCGTAAACCTCATCCGTTTGCAATAAATATTTTAATGGTGAACTTATAATTTGAAAATAATGCTATATTTTAATTCTTGTCATAAGCTATCTGTATGCCAAATTTTATACAAAGAAAGATAAACAGCCATACTCACACACACTCGTTAACAAACATTCACATTTATGATAATAGTAGGATTTTATTTAACTTGTCGCTTAAATTCCGGGAATACTTGGTAAAAATAATTTTAAAAATAATTATTAAAATATTGTATTTAACTTTTAAGTTAAATTGATATTGAATTTCTAAAGAAGTCGCAGCACCCATTAAAAATATTTTTGAAATAAAACTTTCTTAAACCTCCGTCGTTTGATATCTGCATTTTAAAATATTCCACTAACTTGTTTATTAAATTGGGATTATAATTTTGGACAGTTGGCAACCCTATCAAAAAAAAATTTGTTTGATAAATCGTTTTGAAGCCCCTTTCGTCATCCACACATATATTATTTAACCTAAAAACTAAACGATGTTAAGTTTTGAAGAAGGTGGAAACTCTTTTCAAAAAATCTCCTATAGATTAATCCAAATGCCGAATTTCATTGAAATACATACATATGTCCAGTAGT